TAAAGATTTTGCTTATAACTTTTAGTGACAATGTTCGTGCTTTTAAGTAGACCTATGTGATTCCGTGCTTTTAAATTTTGAAGTATGCATTTTCAGTATAGGTTTATCTGGCCAATAGTATGGGAATTGGATACAGTAGTAGAGTACATAGCACTATGCCTGCTCCTAGTGGAACCTTCTTCCTTATACAAAAATATCTCAAACATAAAGCACCATCATAACACAACTTGATAAAGCATTTGGAGCTCTTTACATGGACAGTCTGCATAAAAAAGATGAACATTCTAGAAAACAGAAATTCTTTCATTTTTCAGACTATGGTTACTGATGAGTCACGATTCTGAGATAAATGTAGACAAAATAGAAAAGATTAATGAAGGTTGTCAGGGATGGAAATAGAGTAGAATATAGGTGATTGTGTGATTTCTTCTATAACTTAGATGCCACAGGAAAAGAAAAATGCAAGTAAATTAGGAAATAAAGCTTACAGATCAGGAAACAGCATCAGAATAAACACACTAGAAATACACTGAAACCCTAAGTGCTTCCAGTCACTTACCACAATTCATAAACATGTAAACGCTACCTTGTAGAAGCTGGAGAAGAAAACTGTTCCTTTCATTGTCTTCCAAAGAACACTAAAACCCTCAACTATCGCTAACATAGGGGTACTTCCATTTTCATGAACTTTTTTCATTTCCTAAAATGAAAAACATTGTCTTTTCTTTTATATATATTGATTCTTTGAGAATTTCATACAATGTGTTTTTGATTCTATTCCAACTCCCTTCCCAGTATCCACTGCTGCCTTACTACTTCTCCCAGACTTCATATCCTCTGTTATTGTTTATTCCTTTTGAACAGCCCATTGAGTCTGATTTCTGTTCCCTACATGCCCTTGAATGTGGGTCCATCCTTTGGAGCCTGGTCAACCTACCAGGTATTGCATTCTTAAAGAAAACTGAACCCCTTCTCCCTGAAGCTATCAATTGTCAATATATCCTCAGCTAGGGCAGGCACCACTTGCCCACCTCCCCAGTCCATGCTGGGTTTTTGTCTGTCTTGGGCTTGCACAGATCTTGTGCATACTGTTACAAGTGCTGTGCTGTGGGTTCATATGTGCAACTACACTGTAGTGTTGACATAACATGGTTTCTTTGTACTCATTCATATATCACCTTTTGCTCTTACAGTCTTTCTGATTCCTCTTCCACAATGATCCCTGAGCCTTAGGGGGAGAGAGTGTGATATAGGTGTCCCATTTAGGGCTAAGCACTCCACAGTCTCTTATTCTCTGCACATCGGCCAGTTGTGAGCCTCTGTGTTAATTGCCATCTGTTGCAAGAAGCTATTCAGGTGTAAGTTGAGATATGCACTGTTTTGTGGGTTTCACAATAAATCATTAGGAGTTGATACATAAATGCATCTGAGGCAGGAGGGGGTAGTGACTCTGTCCCTCCTATGAAGGAATGTTAACAGCCTTATTATTGGCATAATCATAGTAACAGGTTTTCTTATGTAGCCCCTGACCTGTCTAGCTATAGGTTCTTGAAAAATGTTTAAATTAATTTGCTTAACAATTAATTTCCTAACCAAAAATATTACTATGTAGGCAGAAAATATGAAAAGTAACTGAATACGTGGCAATAGTTAGTAACTACTGAGAGTTTGGGAAGTTGTGGCTGTAATAAAGTGTTCTTGATAATAGAGCCATCCCTGTCTTTTCAACATCTATACTGAATTATCTGTTGATCAAATAATGATGACATTTGCTTCAAAAAAACTAATAGATCTATAGATTAAGTGAGATTGGCCATATAATTATTGAAATTATATAGTGAATACATTCATTATATTATTGTCTCATATATTTGATGTATTGATACATTTATGCAAATATATGTCTGACAATTTGCATTATAAACTTATTAATTGTGATACTCCCAAGTCTTAGCTTTCCAGAAATTACATTTGAAAAGAATTAAACTTGTAGCAAATATTTGATACATAATCTCCAAAAAATTATTTCCTAAGGTGGTTTAAATTGTATTGCTGGTGCAACTTCCCGAAATGGTGCTTTCATTTGGGATATTCAAAAGGGCAAAATGGTACAGCGATTTACTGAGGTAAGAGTAATTTATTACTATTGAATAGCATTATGTCTTATACCATGTAAGTGTTTTATTTCACAGGTAATAACACAATGTCATGTTTTTTTTTTCAATTAGAAGAAACTCAAAAGAAATATTTATAAACTAAAATGATTTCTGAGATTACAATGAGGTTAGGAAAATTCACCAGAGAATTCAAAAGAATTTTAAGTTACCCTTTTTCTAAAGTCTAAGCAAATATTAGATAATAGGAAAAAGACTGAACTTGGAAATTCCAAGTATTGATCTGGTGTTTTGTGACTTTTTCTCTAAGAAACCTATACTCACAAATCAAAGGAAAAAAATTTCCACCCAATTCCAGTTTTGTGAACCAATGAGATTATTTGTGTTACTTAAGGAATATGTGTTACTCAAAGTCAGGTATACGATTAGGAAGTTCCCTCCCCCAACATGACTCATCCTGTAGCTATACCCTGAAGGACCCCAAGTCTCCTTTCCCCTCCCTCATACTCTAACAACCGCTAAGACACATGCATGCATCTGAGGCAGGAGGAGGTACTGACTCCTTCTGTGAGGGAATATTAACAGCATTATTACCATTAGCATAGAACTATCTGCCACCATATTGTCTTATTTTTTTATTTTACTATGAATATGGGCATCAAAGCAATTCCTCTTCATGGTAGCAATAGGAGTGACTGGTAGAATAATTCCAGAATAATACCTGATTCTATTAGTAGCATCTCTTGATATAAGAATAATTTTATTGTCTTGGATGTGTTTCTCCATCTACAAAATGGAACTTTTTGTTAGATTCTGGAAAGGGAAAAAGTAAAATTCAAAAGACATAGACACTTAGGCTTTAAACATAGTTAATTGCTACTTTAACATTTTTATTTGAAATATTTCTATAAGAAAGAATATTCTATGTAGTGCATTTTCATATCAAATTTTGTTAATTCTGCCATATTTATCAATTTTCAGCTGATGAGACTTCTATCAGACTCTGCTGTCAGGATCTTCTTTCTCTTCATATATCCCTTAGATTCCTTCCTTTCTGTCTTGCCTCAGTCCCTCTTCCTATTTATAATATATAGATTGCATTTGTCCACAGGTTTAGTCAAAGTATATCACATTTTATTTCATTAATTGAAGAATGTGTATGATCTAGCTAAAATGTGTTCATTATGCACCACAGACAACAATGAATAAGATCTACAATTGTCTCACACTATCTTGATATTTATTTTAAGCAATTGTTATTGAAGCTTAGTAAGTATATAATTTCTTTGAAAATTCTTCCAACCCATTTACAGAAATGACTTTATCTTTTAAGATGTGGTTTAATAGCGGCAAACTTCCAGGGAACTATGGCATTAATGTAGCAAATGAAGAGTGAGGTGGTACCACATCACAGAAAACCTGACTCTTGGAGTCATTTAAACCAAAAGTGAGCCTGATCTATTCTCAGAACCTTTCTTTCTGATTTCTTTTAGAACTATTCTCTGTGACAAAGAGTGCCCTCTGTTTTTTATAAGGTATATCTATCAATCATGCTGTGGAACAGGAATGAGGACCTTTGTCTTAAGGAATTTTAAAAAATTATTTCATTTTTATTTTATGTGCATGAGCGTTATGCCTGCATGTGTGTTAAGTACACTGACATTGTGGATTCCTGGCATCAGACAGAAGAGGGCATTGAGTCCCCTGGAACTGGCATTACAAGCAGTTGTTAGCCACCATGTGGGTGCTGGGATTCAAACCCTGGGACTTCTGCAAGAACAGCCAGTATTCTTAACCACTGAGCCATCTCTCCAGCTCCCATCTTAAGGAATCTTTAACCAAACATTACGAGGAAGAAGTTATTTTTCTGAACCTGTTGACCCAGACCAGCACACAAACCCATAAATAGATGTCACCAATCTATGCACACGTGTTGCTTTCAACATTTGGAGGGGACACATTCTTTTCTGTGTCATCACCACTTCCGATCTGTGATCTTAGGTCTACTTACATCTTACCCACATGCATTGTTCTGCGTCAGACACATGGACGGGTAAAGGAGAAGTAGGGAACATAGTATAAGATTTAAGTTATGCATTTCAGTTTAGGTAGTGTCACCGCAAAAGCATAACTCTCACCTAAAAGGGGATAAGAGTTTATTCTAGAGCCAAATATGAGTGATCATGGCCTGGGAACACAGATTCAGATTACCCCAAATTCAATGTTCCAATGTCCAGCTGTTTCATTAAGTTTTATAGTAATAGAACAAAGAAAAGTCATAAATGAAGACACATTTCATAGACATTGGTGGATGCATTCAGTAGGCAAGTCATGAGGGGGTGGGGGGATTTCTACTATAGGTCTCAGATGCTATCTGATGACGTTTTTAGCTTTTTGATTGGTGGGACCTGGGTCTGCTAAATTAAAACATTTGTCATGGGATGTTAGGTCAGACACAGAAATAGTGAAGAAATGGCTATTTAGGGGCTAAAGGTAGCCTGAGATAAGTGGTAATTAAGCTCTGGACCTGCAACATTCCAGATGCTCCACAATCTCCTGGAGCTCTTATCAGTTAGTTAATCAGCCTTGCAGAAGAAAGTCCTGTTTGAAGACATAAGGTTTTTCTGGAAACTTTCATTCAAGGTAGTAAGAATCCTAAGATCGATTGCTTTGATTTTCTGAAAGGCCAATTAAATTTAAACAAGTCAAGTGCACAGTAGGAAAACAGATTTGATACATAGTCCTAATGTTCTTAAAGTTAATGATTAACTTGGATTCTCAGAAAAAAATCACCCTCATAGCAGAGTCAGAGGCAAATTTTACCAAGTACTGGTAAGCAATTTTCCTTCTAAAAAGAAACTTTTATAAAGGTGATAAAAATTATACCTTTTCCTTGCCTTACATAACAACAAAACAATGCTCTCTCTACCCAATAGTACCACAACCAGGTCTCTGCCCTCACATCACCAGAACAACTTATTCCACAATAAGTATTCAAGTATTAACATAAAAAAAAACAATGAACCTGAAAGTGAAGTTTTTTATAAACTCAAGATTTGAAAATTTGTCCTTACCTGTCAGATCTGATAGTGTCTTTATATTCCATTTACAGTTTTATGGCCTCCAATATCTGCCTATTTATATTTAAACAATTCCAACCTGATTGTAGCAGCTTACTTTCGTAAAGACCCTCTCTTTCATTCAAATCTTTCCCAGTATTCAATAGCATGGTTAAGATCACCATCAAATCACTTCAATCCTCTGTTATAAGTGCACAAAAAATATGCCAGCTTTAAATAACAAGTCTATGTGGGTCTGACAAAAGGAAACGCCAGCTATTAAAGAGCCATAAACACACTTTTTGTATAAAAGGAAAATGGAGTTGGCAGAGAGCATCTACCCCATAAGCTGAAGAAATGCAGGGACTGCTCCCATTTTTAATCCACTTGTATAAAATCACACTGTGCAGACCTTCAAAGAAGTAAAAACAACTAATACTGCCCTTAGAAGTTGAACATGTATCCATAAAAAACTTTAAAATGAGGTTACAAAAGTCAGTTCAATTTTACCTTAAGAGTAGCCACATTTTTTTTTAACTTTTAAAGAAACTTTATTGAGAATTTCATACATGCATATAAGGTATTTTAATCAAATCCACACTCACTCCCCTAGAACACCTCCATATCTCATCACTTTTTTCTGACAACTTTTCCTTCTTTCTTTCTTTCTTTCTTTCTTTCTTTCTTTCTTTCTTTCTTTCTTTCTTTCTTTCTCTCATTTATTTCTTCTTTCCTTTCTTTAACAGGGCATTTATTGCTCTAACATTCCCCTCTCTGAAGAGGTATTCCCCAGTCAAGGACTTGCTTTTCTCTCTACAGATAAGAGTTATGCAATTTGGGAGTCTTTTAGATAGATCTGACTGAAGGGGTACTCCAATTGCCTCATCCTGGCTCCCTATTCAACATAGAAGAAACCAGAGTGGGCTGCCTCCCGATTTCCTATCGGCAATTTGGGTAACCTCTTCAGAGAATAGTGTGATAAGAATAGGAGGAATTGGCTAGGCAGTTAGGATAAAAAAGACCTCAAAAAAAAGTAGCCAATTTCTTGGCTAAACATCAAGATGTCCTTCGGCCTCCTAGCAACATACTCTGTTCTGAAGGCCAAAAATGTCCAAAGTATTTGGGAGCCACAATTTAAACAAAGCATAGAGTAAAGAAGTTTATTTAAAATTAAGAGTGAGCTGGTTACAAGCTTTATTTCTTCATCACACAGTTGTGCAATAACACATTTTCATACTTAAGAGATCTCTAATGTTTTAAAATTTCTCCTTACATGAGCGGCAACTATAACCCTTGGGTCTTCCCCTTGAAGAGGAACTGGGAGATACATCAGGGTTTATTATGGGCATACTTAAAAATACTTTCTGAATATTTTAATGAAAATAAATATTTTGAAACTTAGAGGAGCAACAAGTGAAAGTAATTGCTGGCATTGTTTCTTACACTCTAGTTGTGATAGCCTGAGTTTGAAAACAGATAGGTAAATATCTGCAACTCCAGACCTAAATTCACAAGAGCAGATGCTAAACAGATCACAGTGTTATAAATGGCTGAAGAAGCAGATCTGACTCTTAGCCTTGTGTTCATAAAAAGTAGAGCCAACTAATTTACATTTTAATCTGTTTCCTAAGAGCGACAGCTTTAAGAATGCATACATTCTTAAAATATATATTCAGGTTCTGGGGAGATGGCTAAGTGGGTAAAGAGCTTGCCACATGAGTGTGAGGACCTAAGTTCATATCTCTAAAACCCAAATAAAAATCTGGTGGAGTAGCGTGCAATCTGTAATCATTTTTTTCTTCTGAAAGATGGAAGGCAGCACAGGAGAATTCCTGAAAGTTCACGGGTCAGCTAGCCTAGTCTGTAGCTGTAAACAACAAAAATAGACCTTGTTTCCAAAAAAAAGGTGGAAGGAAAGGACTAGCAACTGAGGTTGTCTTGGAAACTCTACATGTATGTTGTGGTGCATGCATGCTTGCACTCCCACATACACAAAAAGCACACATCATGCACGCAGTACACACAAATTTAAAATATATGCATGTGTATGCATACATGTATATACATATATATTCATATTTCTGCTATTAACAGTTAATTCTCTGTTGGCATCATCTAGGAAAAGTTCTTAATAGGAAATTAATTATTAGAAGCAAGTAAATAAGGGAAAAAATTAATTTTTATTATTTTGTATTTTTTAAGCATGGAAAAAATGGAATATTCTACATTGCCTGGAGTAATAAAGATTCCAAACGAATAGCAACCTGCAGTGGTGATGGTTTTTGGTAAGTTCTATATGATATTATGAAGTTAATTTGTTTAGAAAAGACATATTTGATCATTCTGTTTATTTGTTCAATTGTACCATCATAAATACTCTTTAAATGCCCATATAGGCACATTCCATATTGCTATAGTACATCATTAATAAAAAGCAATGCAATGCAATGATGCTTCAAAATAAAACAAATATTGCTCTTTTTATTGTTTGGTTTTGATTTTGTTTTGTTTTATGAGACTGTGTCCATGTAGTGTCAACTGGCCTGGAATTTACTGTGCAGCTAAGGATGACCTTAAACTCCTGATTTCCCTGCCTCCACCTTCCAAGTCTTGATATTAAAAGTATGTGTCACCATACCTGGCTCAGATGTGGCCTCCTAAATGAAAACAGTACCTGAATTACAACTATAAGAGCAAACTGCTTTAAGGATTGTTTTGTCAGTTTCCCTGACCATATGAGCAATCTCAAGTGATCTAAACAGTTGATCTCAGACTAATAAACTCCATTGTTTAAAACCTTTGCAAGTAGGAATGTGGAAATGCAGGTGGGAAAGGCCCTTTTTCGGAGCTAACTTCAATGTATTTCAGGTATATGTACTTTATTATTTCTGGTAAGTCCCAGGAAGAAGTGAATTTCCAAGTGAAAAGATAAGGAAGGAATTGCCTTGTTTAAAAAAAAAAAAAAAAAAAAACCCTTTTGCTTTTCAAATCAATGATACTACCCTGTCCTGTGAGTATAGTTATTTTTGAGAAGTGGTTGTTGAGTATCTGGAAGTTTGTATTCATTTGATTTTGTATACATCCCCGTTTTCTCATCCACATTTTTTAAACTTCAATAGGAAAAAATAACAAAGGGGAAATAATTATTTTAAAATTGGTATATACCAAACTATAAAAGGTATGTGTCCTAGTTACTTTCTGTTGCAGTGACAAAAATATCTACCAAAACCAATTTTGGAAGGAAAGTGTTTATTTAGCTTAAACCTTTTAATCACAGTTCATCACTGAGAGAAGACAGGACAGGCACTCAAGCAGGGCAGGAACCTGGAGGCAGGAGCTCAAGCACAGATCACAGAGGAAAACTGATTCCTGACTTACACTTCTGACCTGTGCTCAGTCTTTCTTATACAACCCAGAACCAACCAGCCACGGATAGCACCATTCCCAATGAGCTAGGCCTTCCCACATCACTCAACGCTCATGAAAATGACTCACAGATATGCTCACAGACCAGTCCAAAAGAGGTAATTCCCCAACTGAGGTTCCTTCTTCCCAGGTGTGTCAGGTTGACAAATGAAGCTTTTGAGCACAGTATTCTTAAGTGTTTTTTATTAATACATAATTGCCTTACAATGCATCTTTGGGACATTATTTATATTTTAGTGATGAAACATTGGTAAGCATTTGACATCACCACTGTATAGGAACCCGGTAAGTGTTGGTATGCCTAACAATGCTTAAGAGTGTTTCCAAAGATTTGGTACATGTAAAAACCCTAATTTATTGACAGTTTTTTTGTTTTTGTTTTTTTTTTTTTACTTCTAAAGGAAGCAGTAGAACTTGCTTAAGAAAACAGGGTATCACAGTTTCTTTTATTTTCTGTGGCCAACTATCTTTTCTGTAATGGAGTGGAGGATCTCTGAACTTCAAGTGATATTACCAAAAATATACCATGAAATGACTGTAACTTCTAGGTCTTGATATTGGTGAAATGATGCATTCAATCAACTTTACAAATGAGCAAGTAATAAAATTTTAGCATTTAGATTTCAAGCTGGAAATATAATGTATATGTTAGATCATGTCTTAAAGTACATTAAACTATATTTTGCTGCAATTAAAAATCATTCTGAGCCAGGTGTGGTGGTGCACGCCTTTAATCCCAGCACTCGGGAGGCAGAGACAGGAGGATCTCTATGAGTTCAAGGCCAGCCTGGTCTACATAGTGAGTTCCAGGACACCTAGGGCTACAGGGAGACCCTGTCTCAAAAAGAAATTCACAAAATATCAATAAAGCGTTTAAAGTAAAATTCTATTTACATAAGGTACATTCTACTTTAGATTTTTAAAAGACAGTTATAAATAATGGTTTCTGTTG